TCTCCTCTCTCAATAAGTGAATTATTGACATAAATATATATATTTTTATTTTATTTCTACTTGAAATCAACGAAATTTTCTTTTAATATTCAGAGTGCTCGAAGCACGTTGTCTTCTTTGCTCAGAAATCCACACTTAAATTATAAAAAAATAATAATAATTTTGTACAATACATACAAAATTTTACCAACTTTTTCCTTTCTTAGGGCCGTTAACTTTCATTATATGTTTCGATGTTGTTTAGATCTAAAAAATAGCGCGCAATGAAAAAAACGGCAAAAAACATACCAAAGTTTTTATAATAATACAACACAGAAATTTTTTCCGTGCATTACCACCAACACATTCTCATTTTTTGTTTCATAACTAATACATTCTCATTTTAAGACTTTTCTCTTTTTGGCGGGCACTGATTTAGAGTGTGTGTGAGTCGGTAACAAAGTTCGATGTGAGTAAATTTTTTACAAGTACGAGGTGAATAAAATTTCACTAGCTAGTGAAATTTTTGACAAATGTATAGAAAATTTTGACAACTGCAAATATTGTTAAAGTGTATAATTTTTCCGGCAAAAATTAAAAAATATTACACTATATTAAATATTTCTTGTAAATAAATTTATTTAATGTTTTAAAAGCTTTAATTGGTTAAAATTAAATTGATCAAAAGCTTAAATTGATGAATTGCAATAAATGATGGTAGATATTTTTTTTTAAACATTTATTTCACTTCAATGTATAGTATTTTTTCTGTGGTTGTCAAAAATTTACTGCTGTCAAAAAAGATTTAATTTCACACTGCAGATTGGCAACTGCCTCACTATAGTAAAAATATCATTCACCAGCGTTCCCCACAGAACTTTGTTACCGATTCACACACGCCCTTAGTTATGATTGAAACAGTCTGCAGGAAATCGCTGTAGAAAAAAAAACGGCGTATAGTGACGATCAGTGAATAGGATTTGTAAAATATATGTCTTAATTTATTTCTTGCAAAAAACCGGGACTTTTTGCGTCCCGGCATGTGTCGTACCGGGACCGGGACTTAGCTCTTAAATCCGGGACAGTCCCGCCCAAAACGGGACGGTTGGCAACCGTGCTAATAGTACACGTTGATAATCTTTTACATGATAGCAGCTGGCGAATTTAACATTGCGATATCCACGAAGTGTTTATTGCCTTTTCTTTTTTCGATAGTTCCAAACCATTCCTAAATTCGACAGATGGGATCTAGTTCAGTCTGCTTCCCTTATACCAGTTCTAAAAGACAAACGCAAAAAGTTACTAGATTCTTTCAAACAGTCGTTTTGACTTTCCCCACTGCACTATGGCTGAGGGCACTTTCTGCGGCCAAAAATCAACCAATGCAGATAGGCGGTTAAAATCGTGTACACATGCTTCTTAGAAGCTTAAAAGACGTTGGTTTGAAAATCTGCGAAATAGGCTCAACCACACCCACCGACCATATACCGGGTGTCCCAGACCACCAGTTCAGCCTTTCTAGAATGAAGGAAAATGTTTTTATTGGAAAACAGAAAAATATGAACTACCAAGTCGGGGATGCTCTATCTTTTGGCCGTATTACCGACTTCCGGGACCGGGAGTCCATTATTTAACCCGGAAGTCCATTCCAGAGAATTTTTCCGGCAACAGTTACGTATTTTTGTCCGCAAAATCCGGATCTTTGGTAAAAGCATGTATGTCCAATTAAAAAAATGGACTAACGGCCCATCCACTCGTTGAATATTTGTTAATGTTTGACTTTGATGACGTCTGGAAATAGTAGTTTTATCAAACAGCAACAAGATGCAGCAGACAATCCATACACCAAATGAAAGTAGATATAATGCTCTTTTATCAAATGTTTATATTATATCGGACGAGATCGGACAGAAAAAGTCACACTCCATGAAACAAGTATATGTATAATCATAGCATGCACTTTGAAACAGTGAGTTTTTTAAAAACACAAATGTTATTTAAAACCCCCGCGTTGCACTGCAATTCAATATAATAATATTGTTAGGAATAATAGCGATTACGCCAAGTTCGAACACTGTTGTTTGCTTGATTGCTTTCAAGTGATCTTTATTGAATTAATGATTACGTTTTTGTACAAACTAGATGCTTACGTAGCTAAATAATAAGGGCATAAAAACTTTGAATCGTAAGCAAAATTATTGTAAAGGCTTTATTCCCACGTTTTGGTTTACATAAGCATAATTAATGCAAATGCTTTATTCCCACGTTTTTGTTGACATAAGCACATTTTGCGTCTACTTCCATTTGCGTGCATTAATCAACAATGTCTTATCTGTAACTTGACATATGCCAAATTATTTGGCTATAAGAATACACTAAAAGGCATAAAGTGCACGCTACGCATAAAAGAATGCAAGCGAAAATTAATACCCTGTTGAATAAAGCCAATGCAATATTAATATGTCGACTTTTCTTATTTAATAACATCCTCCCCCCGGTGAGCGCAGCTCGAATTCCTTAGCAGGTTCTGTCCTAAATGTTTATCGTAAAGTCCAAACATCCTTGAGAATGTCGAGGCGCAGGTGTGGGTTTTTCATTTTGACCGGATGTGGTCGCAGTCGTGGATGCGTGCAATGTTTCCTGTTTGGCTGTTTTAAATTTTCTTTTGACTAGCATGAACACCAAAAGGCACAAAACTGTAACCAAAGCAGTGTACCCAACCGTTATGTGGTGCGCATTTTGTGCTTCAAGTTTGTTTGGGAGTTCTAATATGCGTTGATTGGCCAATGATGATTGTAAGGACGTGAGGTTTTGTATTTGTGTTATGTATTTCTCATCATCCCGTGATTGAAGAAGAGGCTTTATATGTTCTGCTGCAGCTACTTCGGAAATTTCTCCCAGGCTAGTGTAGGACGAGCAAAGACTCGTCGATATCAACTGATCTGCTTGAACTGATATAAAATTATGTTTGAGTATGCAGTCTGGTTGGAGTGATAACAGTCCTGATCCTTTTAAAATCACCTGAATGATTTCTTTTCCACATACTGCGGTTGCACGAGATGAAACTGACGTGGCATAAATCCATTGATTTTTATGCTGTAGTGATATCCATGCAACATCGTTTGGTGTTTTTCGCAGTTGACAACTTGACTGGGTGTTGTTGTTGAATAAATTTACTTCACATGCGCATTTAGATGAACCGTGACTATAACGAATTTGAATTTTAGAACAGATGTAATTTCCATTTTTAATATCCACACAAGATTGAAATTTGGAGATGCTCAGCGGGAAATATTGACCGAGAGCTGTGTTTATTGCCAAAACTGCAGCACACGGACTTATTTCAATCATAGTCCCATTAGTCCAAGTAGGAATTGGTAGCAGATTGAATAAGTCATATCGATCATGCTCTACCAGAGGCAATGTGATGCTGAATACAACATGCTTTTCTGTAAGTCCTCCCTTAACCGTCATGAGTTGGTATAGCTGGAGTAAATCTTCTTGGTTTACAGGCAGTTCCAATGGTGCTGATAAGTGAAGTTTAATTTTGTTTACTTCGTCTTGCAATTGGCTGGGCGTCAGCAGAAGAGGACTTATTTTTCCGTGATGAGTATCTATTAGAACGGCTAATATTGCAGATTGCATTCTTTGCAAATTGGCTGCCATAAGTGTGAGTTGGATGGATAACGAGGAAAAGATTCGAAATAATTTTTCTTGGTATATCTCATGCGTGTCGTTGCTGATCCTCTGGAATATTTGACTCACTTGTTGATCAATGATGTCGAACTTCCTCTTGACCGCTTTTTGATCCTGCTTCAAAATGTTGATGGTTGAGTCCACAATGGATGTTTGATTTCTGATCAGGTGCAGCAGATGTAGTTCATTTTCCTTAACGTGTGTGATTGTTTTGGACATTTGTTCTGCATATTCTGCGTCCAGTACTCCAAACAAAGAATGAGCGATATTTCCAACTGCATCAATGGCACCTCGTTTACGCCGATTAGATTTTACTATTGCGTAATCTAACTGCAACTCTTTTTCAGTCTGCTCAAGATGTGCTACCAGAGAAAAACATGAGCTTTTTTGTGTGATTTCTTGACATAAATGGCGCAGGGCCCTTGTGCCATTTGACAGCGCTGCTAGTTCTACCAAAAATCCTTCCATGTCATAGTAGATTATTAGGTTCCAATCAGTGGTTGATATGGCTGTTGAGCCTATTCCTTCAAAATGAATGCCAAGCCTTGATCCAAATCGCTTATTTTGAAGTTCAGCTCCTAAAGCCAGTGGTAAGATGAGTAGGGTAATCAGAAGTGTAGCAAGTCCTTGGTGTAACGAAGGATTATTCCTCCTTGATGGAATTTTGTCTTCCTCAAGCAGTTTGTTGGTTGATTGTCGTCCTGTGGTATCATTTGTTTCCTTGGGCAAGGGTGCAAGCCGATGAATAGGCCTCTTGCAAGTGCCACTAGCAGTTTTTACATCAGCCACTCTCACTACACCGTCGTTTCCTTCATATACATTGATGATTCTTCCTAATGGCCACTGCAGTACCGGTGTGTTGTCTTCTTTGATGATCACCATGTCACCTACGTTGATGTTGTTGTGTTGTGTCTTCCACTTATTTCGCAGCTGAAGGTCCGATAAATATTCGCGGGACCACCGATTCCAAAACTCGCGTTTGAGGTGAGAAACAAGTTTCCATCTTGTTAATAAATTTGTTTGCTGTGGCCTAGACGTTGGATCAACTTGGGCATTAAGGGGTTCTCCTATGAGGAAGTGGCCTGGAGTTAAAGCTGTTAGATCGTTAGGATTGTCGGACATTGGGCTGATTGGTCTGGAATTTAGGATTCCTTCCACCTCGATGATTACCGTGTCCAATTCTTCATACGTTAAGGACGCTGTCGAGGTGCTTCTTATTAGTAGATGCTTAGCTGATTTTACCGCTGCTTCCCATAAACCGCCAAAATGTGGAGTCCTAGGAGGTATAAAATGAAATGTTATTCCCTTTCCGCTGCACTGCTTTACTATTGATTCTCGTGATGAATTTCCATAAACAACGTCAGTAAGTTCAGAAAGCTGGTTTTTCGCGCCTACAAAATTGGTTGCGTTGTCACAATATAAATTTTGACAATGTCCTCTTCGGCTTATAAATCGTTTTAAGGCACCAATAAATGCATCCGTCGTTAAGTCGCTGACTAATTCCAAATGCACTGCCTTTGTGGCAAAACAGCAAAATACCGCTACATAGGCCTTTTGTGGTTTCTTTCCCCTTATCTTGAAGTGAACCCAAAATGGCCCGCAGAAGTCCACGCCTGAGTTGATGAATGGTCTTGCTGGAGTTACTCTTGTTGAAGGCAAGTTCCCCATAATTTGACTCATTAGTTTTGGCTTAGCCTTGGTGCATCTTACGCAGTTGAGCACAATTGATCGTGTCAGCAATTTTCCCTTTATAGGCCAAAATCTTTGCCTTGTGTAAGCTAAGAGCGCTTGAGGTCCACAATGACGGTTTTCTTTATGGATCATTTGTACTAATAATTTGGCGAGTGAATTGTTATGTGGAATTAGCATAGGGTGTTTGGCATCGTATGCAAGTTCTGATGCTTGTAGACGCCCTCCAACTCGGATGATACCATTATTGTCCAGAAACGGTGACAGGCTGCGGAAAGAACTGTTTTTGCGAACTTCGTTGTATTTTTTAAGGTGCTGAAGCTCTTCCTCAAAGTCCGATTGCTGCATTGTACGAACGATTACCACAAGCGCTTTTTCCAATTCGTGTACGGTCAAGGGAATGTCTGACTCCCGCGATTGGTTTCTGGCCTGGTTGATAAATCTCAGCATGTAGCCTGTCACTCTTTGTAATGTTTTGAAAGAGCCATTGTGTCGAATGCTATAAAGTACGCTTCCTTCATGTCCAGTGGTTGCAACAGCGACTGATGTCACCCCTTTCCGTTCCATGTTGATACCTTCGTCGATTACTGATAATGCCTTGGAATACTTTGAAGGCCAAGTGTCTTCTTTACCAAGCAAGATTGTTGGCCCATAAAACCACATATTGCAGGTTTCTAGTCTCCCCGGCGGCAGTCCTCGTGATAGAATGTCAGCTGGGTTGTCTTTTGAGCTTATATGCCGCCATTGTTCAGCGGTAGTGTGCTCATGAATAACAGCTATACGGTTTGCCACAAATGTTTGGTATGATGCTGAGGATGAGTTAATCCATGCCAACACGATTTGTGAATCAGTCCAAAAGTATGTAGCCACATCGTCTAGCTTAAGGTCTGATTTGACCCTTGTAGTTAGTTGAGCACCCAGTACTGATGCACAGAGCTCAAGCCGAGGAATAGTTTGCCGTTTCAAGGGTGCCACACGAGATTTTGCACAGAGCAGCCTCACTTGTACTCGTCCCTCATCCAGCTCGGATCTAATGTAAATCGCAGCACCATATGCCTTTTCTGATGCGTCGGAGAAGACATGAATTTGAATTTTTGCTGGGATGTATCCTTCAAACACGTGCCGTGAAACTTGCAAGTTGTCCAATTTTTGCAAATCATTTCGAAATGTTGTCCATCTCTCATTCAAATCGGCTGGTAATGCTTCATCCCATGTCAGCTTCAGTTGCCAGAGATCTTGAATAAACATTTTTGCCATGACTACAATTGGTGCTAGTATCCCCAACGGATCGAATAGCCTTGCAAGATCGGCGCTGACTGAGCGTTTAGTTGCAAGACTGCAGCTTCCTAGGCATACCTTTACGCAGAATCGATCCATCTTAGGCATCCATGTTAACCCCAACGTTTTAATAGTTTGATTGATGTCATTGTCAAAGTCTATGTCAACTTCTTGTTCCTCCCTGCTAACATTTTGCAGTAATTGTGAGTGATTGGCGCACCATTTTCTTAGGTTAAGACCACGTTGTTTTAAGATGTGTATCAGTTGCTGTTGGATTTCCATCGTCGTGGTTAAGCTGTCTGACCCACCGATTCCGTCATCTACATAAAAATTGTCCTGCAGAAACTGAGCACCAAGAGGATATTGTAATGCATTTTCTTTTGCAATTTTCTGCAAACATTTGGTGGCTAAATATGGAGCAGATCTTGTCCCATATGTGATTGTATTTAGCTGATAATGCTTTATTGGTAGGCTTGAATCCTTTCGCCAGATGATAAGTTGGAATTTGCGTTCGTCCGGTTGAATGAGCATCTGTCGATACATTTTTTCTACATCTGTGGTGAAGACGAACCTGGGCAAACGGAAGCGAAGTAAAATGGTGAAAAGCTCGCTCTGAACAGTGGGTCCGGTATACATGAGGTCATTCAAAGACATGCCAGTGGACGATTTTGCTGATGCGTCGAACACCACACGTAATTTTGTAGTGCGGCTTTCGGGTCTCACAATGCAATGGTGAGGAATGAAGTACCTAGGTTTACTGATGGAATCAATATCCACTTGCGTCATGTGCCCCAAGTTCTCATATTCCTCCATAAATTGTACATATTGATTCTTTGTCTGGAGCGATTTTGCCAGTCGACGTTCTAAGGCCAGGAATCGATTATACGCCATCCCATAGGATTCCCCTAAGGCCTCCGGATTTTCATGAAATGGTAGCCTTATCATGAGTCTCCCATTTACATTGATGAGTGTATGTTGTGCGAAATGAGCTTCGCACTGTTTTTCTGCTACGGAATGTTGTTTTCTTACAGGAGGATGTTCCTCAAGTTCCCATAGTCGAGCAATGGCTGCATCTAAGTTGATGTCATCGTTGGTACAGATTCCACATATTGCATTTGAGATGTAGTTGCCACCAACTTTTCCCGCGATGATCCATCCCAGCACTGTATTTTGCAGAATGGGTAGGTCATCTGACAGTTTGATTTGCCCTGCTGCCATCAGTTGGTTGTAGAATTCCGCCCCCAACAATATATCAATTTTGTCAGGACGATTGAATGATGGATCGGCTAACATGATGTTCTCAGGAATTTGCCATTCGTCGATCTTGATTTCTTGCGACGGCTGCGGGGATATAATCTGAGGAAATACCGCTGCCTCTAGCCGCGTTGTAAAGTTGTTGATCCGAGACTGTAGCGCCACATTGACTCGATGCTGTATCTTAGTGCTCCTTGACCCGATGCCACTAATGGAGATTGATGATGGTTTAGTTGAGATGCCAAGACGTTTAACCAATCGTTCAGTCACAAAATTAACTTGTGAGCCTGAATCGAGAATTGCCCGACACTGCACTTCTGTTCCGATTCCTCTAACTTTCACCATGGCAGTGCTGAGTAGTACATACGTGTTTGACTTTGTGTGCTTTGCGGTGGTAAGTGACGCTGCTTCGTCTTTTGATGGCGTTGATTTGGTCCTGGATGGTGTAGTACTTTGCGATTCGTTGCCTTGTGTTGGAGTGGCTACTGATGTAATGTCTTTGCTCACATCCCTTTTTGAATCCTCGAAATGTAACAGCGTGTTGTGTTTTTTGTTGCATTTCAGACAGTTTCTTAATATACAATTTTTAGAACCATGTCCCGGTTTTAGGCAATTGTGGCAATATTTCTGCCCTTGTATGAACTGAAAGCGTGCCGATGGAGACTGTTGTAAAAATTCCTTGCAAGAAAATAATGGATGTTTTCCTTTTTTGCACATGCTGCAAGTGTCATTTCTATGACCTTTGGATGTGACTGAAGTGCACACCTTTGCAGTTGAGCTTGTAGATTTGTCTTTGACACCCATCGCTTCCATGGATTGAAAGTGTTTCTCCAGAAATTGCAGGAATTCCTTGAGTGTTTGTACCTCCCGTGGCTTTGATAATGATTGTTCGTACCGCAAACGAGTCGGTTGATCCAGTTTCTTTAGTAGAAGGGGGAGCAGAAGTGGATCCCATGTTGATGTGTCTATCTGCAAATTTTGCAATGCTAATAGACATTCTTGTGTTGTGTCATGCAGTTTTTTGACATTGTCCATTGATGTGCTTCCAGGTGTAGTAGTTAGCTCATGTACTAACTTGCTCACCAGCAAGCGTTTGTTGTTGTAACGCTCCAGAAGCATGAACCAAGCTGCATCAAAATTCTCTCCTGTTGATGCGAAATGTTTAATTAGATTTCCAGCCTCCCCCACTAAGTGAGTTTTCAAGTACCACATTTTCTGAACTTTTGAAAGAGGTTGATTTATTACCAGTTGCGAGAATAGGTCATGAAATTCTTGCCATTTTAAATAGGTGCCATCGAATTTTGGAATTATTATCTTCGGCAGTGAAATGGATTGCAGTTTAATCGGAAGTTGGTTTGAAGATTGCTCAGTATGGGAGTCACTATTAGCTGCTTGCAAAGTACTCCATACCTTTTCCTCAAGTGAAATGAAGTTATCGACCTTGTAGCCCTGCTCGGTTGGGTTGTCGAACATCTCATATATCCTGAAGTGAATGTCTTCTATATTTTCCCACAGTTTATTAATTGTTGGAACACATTTTGGTGAAACGTTGTCGTTCAGTAACCGTCGCAACGACGCCATCATTACCCCTTGTCTGCGGACTAGTTTAGTGTACTCGTTGGAAGCTGCCTGTTTGGTTCCAGTATCATGCCGTGCTTCAGTGTTGACTTTTGAAGCTGAAGCATCATGTTGGTACGTACTTCCTTCATAAGTTGTTAAGCGCAATTCTCTCGTCGGGGTTTGAGCCAATTGGAGCACTGCGGACTCGAAAATCTCCTTGTACTGATTTACAATTTCCATTATATTGTTATAGTAGTCCTTTGTAAAGTAGTCGTGATCCAGCTGGGGGTTTTCAAGCAGTCGAAGTTTGTTGTCAGTTGTTTCAAACTTCGACCACTCGCTGTCCAGTCTTCTCAATCGCTCTTCGTAATAGCTGATTGACTGCTTCCTGGATTGCGGGTCCTTTTTAAAGTTTCGGACAATTGATTCGATATTGCCGCCCGTTTCTCTTTGTTGTCTGGCCAAATCCTCGAAACGATCCATTTTTCTTCTTTTAGACTAGTTTTGTGGCTCCTTAAACTGCTGCACTGGCCTTGTTTTAGCTGAATGTCCTTTCACAGGGGTCACCAGAATGTTCAGAATAATAGCGATTACGCCAAGTTCGAACACTGTTGTTTGCTTGATTGCTTTCAAGTGATATTTATGGAATTAATGATTACGTTTTTATACAAACTAAATGCTTACATAGCTAAATAATAAGGGCATAAAAACTTTGGATCGTAAGCAAAATTATTGTAAAGGCTTTATTCCCACGTTTTGGTTTACATAAGCATAATTAATGCAAATGCTTTATCCCACGTTTTTGTTGACATAAGCACATTTTGCGTCTACTTTCATTTGCGTGCATTAATCAACAATGTCTTATATGTAACTTGACACATGCCACATTATTTGGCTATAAGAATACACTAAAAGGCATAAAGTGCCCGCTACGCATAAAAGAATGCAAGCGAAAATTAATACCCTGTTGAATAAAGCCAATGCAATATTAATATGTCGACTTTTCTTATTTAATAACAAATATTCTAGCACAAACTAAAACCAAAACAACAAACAATATGTTGACTGGTATTGGACCAGGGTTAACTTGCGGTCATAAATTTATAGTTTCTCTTCTAATTAGAGTATCTAGAATAACGTCCGCCTATTAAAAAATGTGAAAGCAAAAAGTGAACATTGGACTTTTGGACACTGAAAGGGCTTATTTCAGCCATAGTACACTGTAGCGATTTAAAATTAGTTTCAAAGAAATGTCTTCAATGTAAAATCAATTTTTGCTTGCTGTTATTGGTTAGTAGATTCCAAATGGTCCGAGGCTCGAATGCCGTCAGACGCATGATGTTAAAATGGTGATAAATAGTTTTTTTTTTGTGGTTTTAAGGGCGTGAGTGAATCGGTAGCAAAGATTTGTGGGGAAATCTGGTGAATGATCTGATGAATCTGCTGTGTGAAATTAAATCTTTTTTGACAGCAGTAAATTTTTGACAGCCGCAGATTTATGCGGTATAAAATATCCTAAATTGAAGTGAAATGAATATTTTAAGAAAACATCGACCATATCATTATTGCAATTCATCAATTTAAACTTTTAATCAATTTAATTTTAATCAATTAAAGCTTTTGAAAAATAAAGGAAATGTATTTAATATAAATATTTAATATAGTGTAATACTTCTTAATTTTGCCGCCAAAAACTTCATCTAATATCGTGTTACGGTGTTTGTGGTCGAACTCCTCCTAAATGTGGGTATGAGAATCGGATGTAAAGTATATTTCATAACGCTAGGTGCAGGGGGCGTGGCACCTCCCATAGAAACCGAATTTTCAATATTACATATCTCTGGAAGTGTTCATGATCTAGTTCTCGACCCGAAAACAGTCGCATACTCTTGGAGAAAAATTGTGGTTGTTGGAAAACGGGGCGTGGCACCTCCCAGAAAAACCAAATTTTTCATACTGCATTTGTCTGGAAGTGTTCGTGGTAGAGTACTCGCACATGGTATGGAGATATATGAAAACAATTGCATACTCATGGAGAAAAATTATGGTTATTGGAAAAGGGAGCGTGGCGCCTCCCATACAAATCGAATTTTTCATATTGCATATCCCTGGAAGTGTTCATGGTAGAGTACTGGAATTTGGTATGCAAATATATGAAATCAATCACATAGTCGTGAAAAAAAATTGGGGCTATTAGAAAATGGGGCGTGGCACCTCCCATACAAGCCGAATTTTTCATACTCCATATCCCGGAAAATGTTCCTGTAAGAGGGGTCGAACATGGTAAGGAGATGTGGTACCTTCAGCATCACAACACGCGACATACATATGTACAGAAGTATCCAGTTTACATTTAATATTATTTTAACAGTATGGCCACACTAAGCATTAATTTGTAGTATTATTCATTTTCTGTTATCCCGTTGATTGGAAATAAATGACGACGAACGACTGTTGTTGTTATTGCACTGTTCCGCAATCACATCTTTTCGCTTTCATGGAAAATCGAAAGGTGTAGGCGCGGACAGGCATAGCAGCACAGACCAGTTCTCATACGATTATAGAGAAGGTGACACGTCATTTTATTAAGCAGCTTCAACGGGTTCCCAAAGTGGTGATCCCGGCGTGACCAAAAAAACCGTTGCATCAACAGTTACCCCGGATACTACGGACTTAACTGAAAACACCGCGATAATCAAGGATGCCGCGAAAGATCCTGATGAGAATTCACCCACGGGTACAATAAAAAAGGTTAACTCCTTGGCAATGAAAATCGACATGCCAGCAATCGATCGGAAAAACATCGGGGTATGGCTCTTGAGCCTGGATTACTGGTTTGCAGCAATGGGCATCAAGAGCGATACACAAAAGTACAACAGCGCGATGGCGGCATTAGGCCCACGCGTACTGCAAGACTTCCGCCGTAGGGGAAGTGCTCGAACAAGGACGATACGAATTTATCAAACGCCGATTGATCACCTTTTGCACTGACAGCCAGCAACGTCGACTCAACCGAACGCTGAACGAGACACAACTTGGTGACCAACGCCCAAGCCAACTACTTGCAGAGATGATGAGATTGGTGGGCGACACCATGAGCGAATCTGCAGTAAAAAACATGTGGGCAAAACGCCTATCTATGCTCAGGCCGCCGTAGCCGCTTGCACAGGACCATGGAAGGAGTATTTAAAAATTGCAGATGCCATCGTTGATACGATTAGTCTACAAGTGAACAGCAATACGGGCGACCAGAGTAGCCACATAACACCCGCACCTACAGCCGTCGTACAAAGGCAGTCAAGGGGAGAATATGACGACCTACAAAACGCCGTATACGAGCTAACTAAACGCTTGGACCGCATGAGCGTCGAACGCGGAAGGCAACGCGAACGAAGTCGTCTGAGTTACCGCCGGCAATCTCAAAAGCACCGACGAATGCTGGTGCCATAGTAAGTTCGGCTCAAGTAGCAGAAACTGCAGACCACCGTGCAGGCATTACAAGCCTAGTAACAATGATAATAGTGCAAAATGAATCAACGCGGTCGCTGGCGCAGAAATGGCAGCGGTCGCCAGCGTAAACCGCCTCACAATCAATGACCGAAAATCCGCCATTTCTTATCGATGCAGGAGCCGACGTTTCCGTCCTACCCCACCTTTTTACCGCAAATACACCGGCATCGACGCTTAAACTTTACGCAGAAAACGGCACACCCATTTCGACGTTCGGACATCTACGCTTAAGCCTCGACCTCGAAACCTTGCGAACGCACAGCACCTCTACTACACAGGATCGAATCGAGACGACCGGACAACCCGTGTCCTCCCGTCCACGCCGATTGGAGCCAGCGAAGCTGAAAATAGCCAAAGACGAGTTTGAATTTCTTTTACGACAGGGCATCATTCGCCCATTCTGCAGCAACTATGCAATCCCACTGCATATGGTCAAAAAGGCTGACGGCAAATGGTGACCGTGCGGTGATTACAGGAGGCTCAATTCGCAAACAACGCCCGACCGATACCCGATACCTTACCTGCAAGATTGCTCATCGATGCTAGACGGGTAGCAAATTTTTAGCATAATAGATCTGCAGAAAGCATACCACCAGCTTCCGATTCATCCAAACGACGTTCATAAAACGGACATACCGACAACGTTTGGCCTATACGAATATTTGTACCTGCCTTTCGGCTTACGAAACGCAGCACAATCCTTCCAGAGGTTGATCCACGAAACGCTTCGAGGGTTGCATTTCGTATTCGCATATGTCGATGACATACTCATCGCGTCACGAGACTACGAACAACATCGCAGCCACCTACGTCAAGTTTTTACCCGCCTCAGAGAATACAGCCTCATCATCAACCCCGCCAAAAGTGAGTTTTGCGCGAAGGAAATCAAATTCCTAGGGCATTTAATTACTCAGTCTGGCATCCAACCTTTGCCGGAAAGGGTCGAAGCAATCAAAAAATTCTTTAGCTACAGTTAATTTTTACCACAAGTTTTTGCCTAACGCAGCTGAATACCAAAAGACGCTAACAGCGATGTTTCCCGGAAATAAGCGAAACGACAAAAGGACCTAGTACGGAATAATGAGCAAAGTGTCGCATTTGAGTAATGTAAGTCAGAACTCGCAAACGCCGCTATATTGGCTCATCCTCGTCAAAACGCTCCTCTGTCAGTGGTTACCGACGCCTCGGACGTTGCAGTTGGAGCCGTGTTGAACCAGCTGGTGGAAAAAGACGCACAGGCCCTTGGCTACTTCTCCAAAAAAACTTACCGCAACGGAGCAGAGATATAGCACCTATGACAGGGAGCTTCTTGCTATCTACAAAGCTGTCAAGCATTTTAGATATATGCTGGAAGGCCTAACATTTTTCATAATGACCGACCACAAGCCGCTTATATTCGCTTTCCAGCAAAATAGAGAAAAGGCGACACCGCGTCAAGGCCGACATTTGGACTTTATTAGTCAGTATACAACAGACCTCCGATATATCGAGGGAGCAAACAACCACACAACAGACTTGCTATCCAGAGTAAACAAAATTACGTCCCCAATAGACTTCAGCGAAATAGCGACAGCGCAGAAAAACGACGCCGAACTAAAGGAATTGATGGTAGGTAATACAACCTCACTAAAGCTCAAGCTTCTTAAAATTCTTAAAAAGAGGAGCCAAGCGAAATATGGTGCGATGTTTCATCTAAAAATGTGCGCCCGTTCATCCCCAAGCAGTTTCGGACACAAGTTTTAAGCAACGTTCACAACAAGGCACACCCAGGTTCCAAAACCACCGCTTTATCTGGCCGAATATTTGAAAAGACGCTGCACTTTTCGCACGACGCTGCCTCCAATGTCAAAGATCGAAGGTCCAACAGTACACACCGTACACACAGTACAATCGACGCTTCAATCACATCAACGTCGACATCATCGGCCCTTTACCTCCTCACAATTGGCATCGTTATTGTTCAACGCTAATCG